GGGGTCAGATCCCACATGGGAATGGGGTCAGATCCCACATGGGAATGGGTCAGATCCCACATGGGAATGGGGTCAGATCCTCGATGGGAACGGGGTCAGATCCCACATGGGAATGGGGTCAGATCCCACATGGGAATGGGGTCAGATCCCACACACTGCTCCACGTCCCGCAGGATCTGATCCCAGGGTTTTATGGAATCCAATCCCAGCATTTATGGGATCCAGTCCTGGTGTTCTACAGCGTTTGATCCCAGGTTTTATGGGATCCCATCCCAAGGTTTTTGGGATCTAATCCCAGAGTTCTATGGGATCCAATCCCAGGGTTCTGGCTGGTTTGATCCCAAGGCTTATGGGATCCCATCCCAAGGTTTATGGGGTCTGAGTCCGGGGTTCTATAGGATTTGATCCCAAGGTTTATGGGGTCTGAGTCCGGGGTTCTATAGGATTTGATCCCAAGGTTTATGGGGTCTGAGTCCGGGGTTCTATAGGATTTGATCCCAAGGTTTATGGGGTCTGAGTCCGGGGTTCTATAGGATTTGATCCCAAGGTTTATGGGGTCTGAGTCCGGGGTTCTATAGGATTTGATCCCAAGGTTTATGGGGTCTGAGTCCGGGGTTCTATAGGATTTGACCCCAAGGTTTATGGGATCAGATCCCAGGGTTCTGTCTGGTTTGATCCCAAGGCTTATGGGATCTCATCCCAAAGTTTATAGGGTCTGATTCCGGGGTTCTATAGGATTTGATCCCAATGTTTATGGGATCTAATCCCAGACTTCTATGGGATCCAGTCCCAGGGTTCTGTCTGGTTTGATCCCAAGGCTTATGGGATCCCATCCCAAGGTTTAGGGGGTTTCATCCTGGGGTTTATGGGGTCTGATCCCAGAGTTCTATGGGATCCAGTCTGGGGGTCTACAGGGTTTGATCCCAGGGTTCTGTCTGGTTTGATCCCAGGGTTTATGGGATCCCATCCCAAGGTTTATGGGGTCTGATTCCGGGGTTCTATAGGATTTGACCCCAAGGTTTAAGGGTTCTGTCTGGTTTGATCCCAAGGCTTATGGGATCTCATCCCAAAGTTTATAGGGTCTGATTCCGGGGTTCTATAGGATTTGATCCCAATGTTTATGGGATCTAATCCCAGACTTCTATGGGATCCAGTCCCAGGGTTCTGCCTGGTTTGATCCCAGGGTTTATGGGATCCCATCCCAAGATGGGGTCTGATCCCAGAATTCTGTGGGATCCAGTCCCAGGGTTCTACCTGGTTTGATCCCAAGGCTTGTGGGAACCCATCCCAAGGTTTAGGGGGCTTGATCCTGGGGTTTTCTAGTTCCCCCTGTCCCATCCCATGGATCCCATAGATGCCATCCCATGGATCTCACCCCATGGACCCCATAGCTCCCACCCCATGGGCCCCACGGACCCCACAGAGGCCGTGCCCACCTCCAGGAACCCCGGGAACTCCTTGTCCATGAGCGCCCTGAGGTCCTCCTTGGCCAGGTGCTCCTTGTCCCCCGCGTACTTGTGGAAGGTGAACATCAGCGTCTCCATGGCGTGCTCCAGCTGCGACGGCATCCTGCCCTGATCTGCCCAAATCCTGCTGGGAACCCAAAAATCCCCACGGGAGCCTTAAAAATCCTGATGGGAAACCCAAAAATCCCCACGGGAACCCCAAAAATCCCCACAGGAACCTTAAAAAACCTGCTGGGAACCCCAAAATCCCCACGGGAGCCTTAAAAATCCTGATGGGAAACACAAAAATCCCCACGGGAACCCCAAAAATCCCCACAGGAACCTTAAAAATCCTGCTGGGAACCACAAAATCCCCACGGGAACCTTAAAAATCCCGATGGGAAATGCAAAATCCTGATGGGAACCCCAAAAATCCCGACGGGAACCTTAAAAATCCCCACAGGAACCTTAAAAATCCTGCTGGGAACCCAAAAATCCCCACGGGAACCTTAAAAATCCTGGTGGGAAACCCAAAATCCCCATGGGAACCCCAAAATTCCTGCTGGGAAACCCCAAAAATCCTGCTGGGAACCCCAAAATCCCCACGGGAGCCTTAAAAATCCTGATGGGAAACCCAAAACTCCTGATGGGAACCCCAAATTCCTGCTGGGAACCCCAAAATCCCGAGGGGAAACCCAAAAATTCCGAGGGGAAACCCAAAATCCCAATGGGAACCTTAAAAATCCCAATGGGAACCCAAAAATCCCCACGGAAACCTTAAAAATCCTGATGGGAAACCCAAAAATCCCCATGGGAACCTTAAAAATCCTGATGGGAACCCCAAAATCCCGATGGGAAACCCAAAATCCCGATGGGAACCCAAAAATTCCATTGGGAACCCGAAAATCCCAACGGGAAACCTAAATTACTGCTGGGAAACCCAAAAATATCCCAGTGGGAACCTTAAAAATCCTGATGGGGAACCCCAAATTCCTGCTGGGAACCCCAAATTCCTGCTGGGAACCCCAAAATTCCCGCTGGGAACCCCAAATTCCAATGGGAACCTCAAAAATCTCAATGGGAAACCCAAATTTCAATGGGAACCTCAAAATCCCCAACGGGAAACTCGAATTCCCAATGGGATCTCCCAAATTCCCCGAGCCCCCAAAAATTCCTCCTGGACCCCCCAAATTCCCTCCTGGATCCCCCAAAAATTCCTCCTGGACCCCCCAAATTCCCTCCTGGATCCCCCAAAAATTCCTCCTGGACCCCCCAAATTCCCCCTCGGGGTTCCCCCAAAATTCTCTCCTGAGCCCCCCAAAATTCCCTCCTCGGACCCCCCCAAATCCCTCCGCGCCTCCCAAATCTCTCCAGGACCCCCCAAACTCCTTCCAGGACCCCCCAAAATCCCTCCAGGACGCCCCCTCCATCTCATAGGGATGCCCATCAG